ACGAGGTACCGAGATTGGAGGAGTCGCTGAATGAAGACCACTCAGTATACTGTTGTCTTGATCAGTACCGCAACCGCGCGCGCCAGAATCGTGAAAGATGTTGGTACGGTCGCCCTCGATGCCACTGCCATCATCCGTCGCTCCCCGGCCACCTTCAGGCCGCTGCCACTGATGTCGCTGAAAGGAAGTTTCGATCTTCAAGCCTGCCAATCCGTTCCTTTCTTTATGAGCCATGCCCTCAAAGAGGACAACTCCGTAATAAGTGGAAAAGCTAAAATGGTGATGAGGTTGCTGAATTTCGCGATGATACGATGAGACGACTACATGGGAGGGTCGACGGAGGTCCGTTGTGTTTTAACTCTGCCGATTATTGGGGACAACCATAAAAAAGGGTGGTACGATTCAGACAGAAGAGGCTCCACTTGCAGATGAAGGAGAGTCAGTGAAAGAGGAGTATAACTAGATGATGGGTCACCTGTCCACAGAGATTTGGATGAAAAGATTATTGAAGCGTCGAATCTGAGATGAAGGTGATGGGCAAGGATAGGTGTATCGGGTGATGACGGGACGATTGTTGCGAAGGCTCGGAAAGTGAGCAGTGTGCGGGGATGGCAGATCGACACTGATTTGCTCACCGTCCAATGAACGGTGCTTTATCATCATACGGACCCCATTATGTCACCTGATCAGTGGGACTGGTCCTTCGATTGTTTGCCCTAGGGTCAAACAAGCACGTGCTAACCCTATCGTAGTTAGAGCATTCTGGCTTAGGTGCCTGGCTCTGGCAATCCTAATAAGCGCGCGCAAGGGGCGCTTGTTTGGAGATTCTGGACACCCCCCTTTCGGACGTTGTCTTGATAGTCTGGGGAACACGTTAGGTTACCCGGTCATTGACACGGCCACGGGTGTTGCATATCTCTTCTTTTCTTCCTAGTTTGGCCTGTTCTTGTCAAGAATCGCTCTGGAAGTATTTCTTTCGTCTTGCGGGCCATATTGCCATTATTTGACCGTCTATCCCTGACACCTTCAGCCAACGCTCTCTGCGAAATTGACCAAGCTGGCGCTGTCACTTTGATTGACTTCAGACTCTTGGACACTTATCCTTGCGTCTTTAATTGACAAGAGTCTCCTTCAATTCGATCTTTTCATTCCTGTTCTGTTTTGTTTTTGTTTTTATTTTTACTTTATTTTTTTTTTTTTTTACCTCCACACCAATCGTTACTAGGTCGAATCTTGTTTTGCTCTCTCTTGCGACATCGATGACGCCTGATTTCTCAGTCGCTCCTCGGTCTTCGGTTTTCGAGCTCTCAATACAATTTCCTCGCTTGTCTAGGGACCAAGTATCCGAGAAAAGTCGAAGATGACAAGACCTCGAATCGTCCGAGCTGGTATGTCCCGAAACAATCACTCCGCACTGGCAAAGTCCCTGAGCTGTGTCGTTGAGATTCTGACTCGCTCGCGGTAGACACGCTGGACCTTCAAGATCACCATGCTCCCTCCGCTAAAGATCATTCGAAGCATTCCTTCAATACAGGCAGCGGCCTTGCACCCCATCAGGAACATACCCTTCGCCATGCGGATCAAGACGCAAGAAATGAGATGATACACGGCCCCAATTTGGACGAGAGCCACCTGAACGCTGACCACTACCATGATGGAATGGATATTCATGACGATATGGACGTTGCGGATGCAGGATTAGGCCATCATGGACGAGGCCATGGTTCAGAAGAAGGCGACCTCGCAGACGAAGAAAGTGACGATCTGTTGGATGATGATTTGATGGACAAAATCTCAAGTTCGCCGTCAATTGACGATGGTAAGCACCGGATCTTGGGACTCTGATATTCGTGGGATGGTTCGTTGCGCTGCACTTCTTGTTGCCATGCAATGTCCCCATGTCCCGCATACTTCTCGAAATTTCCAGATGCACATGGCTTACATCGACTAGAAGATATTGATTTCGAATTCGTCTACGCCCTTCACAATTTTGTCGCCACGGTTGATGGACAAGCCAACGCAGCAAAAGGAGATACAATGGTCCTTCTCGACGATAGCAACAGCTACTGGTGGCTCGTTCGAATCGTCAAGGATGGCAGCATCGGTAGAATTTCTCCTCGGCCTCCCCAAAACCGTTCCCTGACAGTTTATAGGGTATCTGCCAGCTGAGCATATAGAAACACCCACAGAAAGACTTGCAAGGCTGAACAAGCATCGAAATGTTGATGTAGGTGATACCCGCTGAGTACTAGGACTCTCTAACAGCAGCAGTTGTCAGCAACGATGCTGGGTGACAATTCAGAGAAATCCAAAAATCCGTTAAAGAAAGCAATGCGCCGCAGGAATGCAAAAAACGTCACCTTCACCGCTCCGACCTACATTGAAGCGTCCGATATTGATTGGTCGACCGAGGATGAAATAGACGACGGAGACTCTCTTATCGATGGCGGAGAGATCATACGCGATGGCGATGATCTGCAGGATGATCACAATGATGATATTGTCGTCGAGCCGCTCAGACCGAAGTCAAATCGCGACAAGGTCACTGATGAGTCGGAAAACATGGAAGAATCTCAGCAGACTGGCTCTACGAGCCCCGAGAGGCAACGCTCCAGCCAGGAGTTGTTTGAGACAGCCAGTAAGCGAATTCTGTTGTGTTTTGCTGGACCAGACCTGATCGACATTCTAGGTGAACCTACTGTCAGCAGATCTCGGAATGGTACCGTGAGGAACACGGATTCGTTCTTCAAAGACGACACTGTTGAGACTAAGAAGATATCTCTGACGCCGAATTTGCTTCGTGACGAAGTGAGCAGTGGCGGGCTCTCGAGCGAGACAAAGGAGGTGCGTATACATCCGTCAATTCAGGGGGGAAATGCGCGTATAAATGGTGCTAACTGTGCTGGAATTGTCTCAAGGGTCGCGGAAGCTTTGACAATATTGACAAAGCATTGGGTGCAAACGACAAAGGCAGGGATGACAAGAAGAGAAAGGACAAGAAGCCAGGGATGCTGAGTGGGCTATTCAAGCGGAAGGATAAAAGAAGCAAATCCACCGAAGATGAATCCGAGGAGCCAGAAAAGGTCTCAGGCGAATTATCCCGAACGTCGCCCATACCTAAGACGTCCTCTGAGTCCGTGTCGTCCCCTGAGCCACGGCCAGCGAAGGGGAACCCGGCACAAAAGCAGACAAATAAGTCCCAGAAGCAGACTCTGCCTGCAACCTCGCCCGCCAAGCATGCGGTTCAGCATGGCAAAGCGCCTGTTGCCGTCGAAAGTGGTGAAAAGGCGCTTACAAAGGCAAAACAAAAGACTGATACAATCCGACAAGTGGTTTCTGAGGACGACGACATTCTTCCTCAGCCTACGCGTTCAATGACTTCTGAGGACGCGGGAGACGGGGTATTGTCTCCTATTGACACAATAGATTCTTCCGCAAAGCGGGATCCTGAGGAGGTAATCGCAAGGGATGCTACGATCGATACCGTTGAGTTCCAGCATGAAGAAAGACAAAGTCCTTACGATCGGATGGTTGCACTCCACCCCTCTGTGACATCTCAGCCGCAGAGATCTCCGCAGAAACAGGAGAACTCATATCATGACCGAAGACCAGAGTCGCCTGCGAGTGTGTCACCGGTCGAGGCCAGTGCACCACATGGCCTTCAAACGGATTTGTCTTCTCCAAAAGATTATTCTGTCTCCCCAATCTCGCCGCCGGTTTCCCCGGCCGAAAACGCCAGCGAGAGCAAGGGCATTGATACAGTCGCCTCTCCAACGGGACGACTTTCTGCGGAAACCCCGACTTGGAGCGACGCTAGTCTGCGGTCGTACTTGGACGATGAGAACGACATCCGCGATTTGTACATTATTGTGCACGATAGTTCGAACATCCCTCCTGCTGGTCCTGAGCATCCAATCACGGGCAGCCTTTTCAAGGAGGAAAGCAGGAGATTGAAGGAAATGAGCAGCCAGTTGGACATGATGCTAGCTGACTGGGTCGGTCGACGTTTGCGAAATGCAACTGCCACGAAGACAGTAAGCGTTACAGCGTTGTGACTGCTCTGTTGATGTAGGTCATGCAAATGTCGTCAAACTTTTATCGGGGTTCTTCTGATAGCCAGATGCTCGATTGTGCTGGGCGCAATACATGAGCTATACTTCCCACTGGCTCGTTTCTATTCTAGCCGGTCTAAAACCGTGTCGTTATACAGTTTTCCTTTTTGCTTTTTTCCCCAACCTCTCATTACCCTTTTCTCTCATTCAACTCAAAAGGGCGCTGGTGTAAACCCCTTTTCAGAGACCGCGAAAGCCCCTTGCTGCCAGCTTGTTTGTTTCATTGTTCTGTTCCCCTCGTTGAACAAGTGAGTTTATCACAAGCTATTTTGCGCTGGCTGGGATGTCGTCCTTCTTTCCCTACTATGCTCGATCTTTCTTTTCTCTTTTCTTTTCCTCGCTTTACGTCTATTGGGATACCCTGAGGCAAATATGGGCTTGTTCGACTCTTGCATGCTTCCTCTGCTCTACAGCCAGGTTAGCATCTCTTATCATAACTCTTACCTCTTACAAATGAAGACGTAAACATATCCTGCAGATCACTCTGTGGCACACGCTCTAGGTTCCTAATTATGAATATGGTAGATCGTAAACGAAGCCTTGCTGTCTCGCCACCAGTGTAGGGCTTCGCCTTTTCTTGATAGCGGTATCTTTAATCTTCTAGACTGTGTCGCTTTGACACCCTTATTAAGCACATAACTCGAGGGTCTCCTTGAGTTATGTGGAATGCCCTAGTACCGTGACTGGATGATGTCGCGCGGGAAGGTCATCTGGTGCCGACGCAGTCATACAGCTTACGCCTCAGCCGCACGGGACAGCTGATCCATGTTTGATCGAATCTTTCGTTATAAAGCATTGTCTGACATCATTCAGCCTGTTTCTTCTTAAATTGCAATTCTCTTACTCTGGACGAATCCATTTGCCTCTCGCAAGTCTTCACTCCCAAAGATGTCGGACCCATATGGCCAGTACCCACCCTATAACACTGCAGCCCCAGGTCCGCACCCTAGCGGCGGGGCGTACTATGCGCCCCAGAACACCCCGCATGATTATGGGTCTCAGCAACAATATGGGCAGCCTGGCCAGCTTCAACAGTATACGGGTGCCTACAATTCCCAGCATGATTTGAGCCAGCAAGCGCAACAGTATCAGCAACCGCCGCAGAGGGATTTTCTGAGCCCGTCTGATGCGCTGGGGTACCAGCATGCGCCCGGAAACCACGAAGCTAGAGGTCGCCAGGGCAGCAACGCTGAGTATTAGTATGTCACCTTCCTCGTCATTCGATTGTTCTTCAACTAATGCCTTACAGCAACCAGCATATTGACGAACATAGAGATGTTTCCCGATCGCGGCGCAGCCGATCCCGCGCGTCCAGCAGCGCGATGAAGGACAAATCCGGATCGCGGTCTAGGTCTAGATCTGCTTCATCTGGGAAGGACCGAGACCTTGCTGGAACGTTGCTGGGGGGTGCGTCTGGATACTATCTGGGACATAAACAGAACCATGGTATTCTTGGTGCTTTGGGTGGTGCGCTATTAGGAAATTTTGTGGGGGATCGAATCAAGGATCACAGTGAGCATGGCGAGGATCATCATAAGCGCCATCGCCATCGTCACCATCATCATGATCATGATGATGGGCATCACAGTCATCACAGTCATCACGATCATCACAGTCATCACAGTCATCGCCACCATGCCCATCGGCATCATCGGAGCCGCTCGAGACATAGTGCACACAGTGACAATTCCTGATGCTTGCGTTTCCTGTGGGGAGTGGTAAGCCTGGCATGAGGTGATGCACGTGATTCTGAATTGTTCTGCAATAAGAACGGTCCTCATTCGTTGTACTACTTTCCATCATGCCCTTGCTTGTGGTTTCGGTTCGCTCATGTTGTCTATGCAGCAGCAGATGGATTGTTAATTTTGCTCCCGAAGATTAGCTGTGCAGTGATGCCCCGCATATTCGTAGCGCGCTCTGTGCTTGATGGACGGCCGCTTGATATGCCTGGCAGACCATGGGTAACTGCAAACATTGCCTTGATCGCTCCAGGCTCCCAATAGGCAGTGACAAAAAGACGTCGGAGTTAAGCGTTTCACATGTCGAGTAGATCCTTCAATCCACTCTACGCTTGAGCATTCTTGAGACAATACATAGTATTAGTGTCGACAATGGATCATTTGGTACGCACAATAATGGGAGTGCTGCTGATCACCTGACCTTGATGTCATAAACTAGGTAGAACTTTGATAAACAAAAACGATAAGGGTCGGTAATGTACCAATGAAACCGGAAACCAGATTCTTATCAAAGGAGGATGATGATGATGATTGTAATGTAGTATTGAGGGTTGGCACGTGACCACCTATCTTACGAACAGATGTTAGTCAGTGATCCCGTCCTAGTCCGAATGCGGCGGCGGTTTGAAATGAAGCAGCCAATGGTATCAGCAGGATACGCCAATACAGATCAGGAGTTATCTATCTGCTGAGAGATCGACTAAATGCTAATTTATCAGCTTGTGGAGCGTGATTCATTTTGTGCCTGTATCAATGCAAGTGGTCGGTCTCTCTCTCAGCTGAGCCCACAATGATTGACTCGTGACCCATACTCGAAGGGGCAGTGTGACTCCCCCAAAAGGATGGACAGAACACACAGCCTTTGAGTCCTTGTATTCTTTCACTCCTTCATTCAACGATATCATTTCTATCAGCCTTGATTCCTTTGTGTCAAGAATACCCCAAGGATAAGAACATACCATATGACTCTTCGTTGTTCATGTTGTTGAAAGACATCTTTCCCGCTCCGCTTTGCTCTTTCCTGTGTACTTCCCCAGAATCTCCCCGCATTCATTTGGGAATTAGCAGGTACCCTGAGCCAGCAAGAGGGTATTTGTGAGTTGAATAGAGTCACTCATTATGCCTCCTCCCTTATTATACAATGTCTTGCCAGCCGCTCTTCCAGAACACTGTGAACCCTCGTCACCATTCCTAGCTGCCGTTTCGTCCCACCTGCATATCTGCCTTCCCACGCCTCTCGCGCTCTTATCTTCGATTCTTGGAACGCTCAGCATCATATCCTGGCTTTTTGCACAGCTTCCCCAAATATACAAGAACTCCCAGTTGCAGTCAACGTCCGGCCTGTCCCTGTTCTTTCTCGTTGAATGGTGTCTTGGGGATACGGGTAACCTTGTGGGTGCTCTGTTTACCAGGCAGGCAACCTGGCAAGTGATCATAGCCGCCTACTACGTCTTGGTGGACGTCATCCTAGTGTTTCAGTTCTTTTGGTATACACACTACAAAGGCCGAAGGGTCGCGTACCGTGACCACTCTCACTCTCACCATGGCGATGACACCGGAGCCATCCTTGAGGGAGTGCCGCTGTCAGAGGAGGATTCGATCAATATCCCACCACAAAAGCCTGCAACGGAAGGCTCAGCCACAAAGGATGAGGAGCTACTCAAGAAATCGGCACCCATCGCGATAGACAGCCAGCCACTACTATATATTAACGAGAAGTTGAGCTCGTCTCGTCGCACGATCACCAGATCAGCCAGTGGTCCCAGCCTGCCACTCGTCTCCACGCGCACTCTGCTTCTGGCGTCGGCGCTCTGCGCCGTTGTAGCCAACGCACAGCCCGCCGAACACAACCTTCCGCCCGCGGCTTCACAACAGAACACCCTTGAGCTGATAGGCCGGATCTCCTCCTGGATCTCAACGGTCCTCTACCTCGGCTCACGTCCCCCTCAACTCATCAAGAACTACCGCCGCAAAAGCACCGCAGGGCTTTCCCCTTTACTCTTCATGGCCGCCTTCTGCGGTAACCTCTTCTACTCCGCCTCGCTGGCAACCAACCCCAACGCATGGTACGACTTTCCCCCCGGGGGTGGTCGCGGATGGGCAGGCGCAGACGGCAACAATCGCCTGGAATGGGTTGGCCTCTCCATCCCTTTCTTCCTCGGCGCCTTTGGCGTCCTCTTTCTCGACGGTTGCATGGGCCTGCAGTTCCTCATATACGGCGCCGGCGACGAAGAACAGATTGTTCGCGTCATGTACCAAGAAAGGAGGAGCCGGTGGACCCGCGTCCGGGGCTGGATGAGGGGCTGGATCCCCTCCGTTTCCCCTCAGCGCGAATTCCACGACACCTCTGTGCAGGAAGGCCAGGCGCTCCTGCGTGGAGAACGAGAGAGATACGGCACTGTTTAGATCTTTGCGGCTCCTTCTGCTTTCTGTCTCACCGATATCTTATTCCCTTTTTCCATACAACACAGCGTGCATGCTTCAACGCCTTGATGACCATTATCTTTCATGGAGTACACCTCCATTGTGTCCTTGTGTTTTGCATTTTCTCACCTCTTCTCGCCTTTTCTTGCCTCTTCTTGTCTTTGGCGTTGCATTCTGGGAATGGGGTTTTTTCTGGACGTAGACGAATAGACGGATCATTGTCATGACTGGCCGTTTCTGACGGCATGATGCATGTGCATACACTTTGTTCCGCTTTTGGTATTTGGCGATGGCGTCTCCTCATCGTCACCTACTATTCAACCTAGGCGACGGCCTTCCTTTTTGCTTAGATATTCCCTGTGCTATCAGCACGTTACTGAGGTCTAGTCATGTTTATACATCATGCTATGCATTACACTATGCTATGATATCGGGTCTTTAGATTATTCATCGAGGGAATAGATCCTTACTTTTTCTAATGACGCTGTCTAGGGATGCTAGCTGTAAGAACAGGCTTTTGACTCGTGGATATATCCTTATTGTGTAAAAAATAATATATTAACAGTCATCTAAGTATAAACATTTAGGTACACTTCCGCCCAAGAAATCTCTCTCGGCAAGTCCACTTTCATCAACCTGAGCAAGGTTCAAGCCCTGGGCCGCAATATTAAGCGCAATTAAGAGCCGGCCCCAATTCGAACCCTCCAGCACTTGGTTGGGAAGACCGGAAATTTTGGTATGTGGTCTAAAAAGTCGAACAATGAAAGGATAGAAGTGAGAAAATAATGATTAAAAGCAAGCGGCCGGGTTCTCCATGTCGTTCATCAGTGGAACGGCCGAGATACTCGCCGAAGAAGGTAGAAGTTGCTTGGTCATCGTAGGTTCCGCAAAGGCGTATTCGTTCATTGTTCACATACTCGTGACTTTGTTTCAAACTAGACAGTCTTCATGGACAGATCAAACGATCAACAGACGATTGAAGCGAACCGTCTAGTGTTATAGGGCAAGAAGTGCTGAAAAACCTTGCGACGCGGCATGACCAGCATCACCGAATCTGGCTTATTCTTGGCCGCTCATCCCACGCACGACTCGACAATAGCGCATGATCAAGCGACATGCTTGTATCTCGGGTGGGAAAGAAAGCCAGGACGGGCACAATTTGCCCTCGAACTTCGTGACTCGTCATGCAGGCAGTTAGTACAGTGGCGATTGGACGTCTTGTACACCCCGTCTGATGACATCCTCAATACGCCAACGAGGAGGCACAATCTTCGGCGACCGCTTGCGCCGCAATTCCATCTCCTTCTCAGGTGGATGGCCCATAGCTTCATCGGGGGGTAGAGCGCCTCCGGCAATTCCAGTAGAAAACTTCAGTTGCAGGACATTGCCAATCTCGTCGCAGGCAGTCAGCACGCGGTCAAGGTCTTCCTTGGTATGCGCGGCAGAAACGCAGAAACGAGCCCGAGAGGATACCAGAGGAGTGGCGGGGTATCCGACGACGACGACGGAGATCTTTCTTCTAAGCATCTCGTGGGAGAAGGCGGGCATCTTGGCAGGGTTGAAAAGAAGGACAGGAATAATTGGCGAATCGTCGTGACCGTACACTATAAAGCCAAGACGCTTCAACCCGAGGCGAAGATATCGAGAGTTGAAGGCCAAACGCTGCAACCGCTCTTCACCCTGGCCCGGAACGATCTCACCGTTAATGATGCGGAGCGCGGAAGAGATCTGTGCCAGAATAGCAGGAGCTGGCGCCTCGCCGTAGAAAATACCTGAATCGGTCGCACGGAGTTTGTCAATCATCGCTTTATCAGCGGCGATGTAGCCCCCATTGGCGCCAAATGACTTGGTAAGGGTCCCCATCAGAATGTCTACCTCGCTCGTGTCGATGCTGAAATAGTCACAAACACCCCGCCCCTTGGGACCTATGGCTCCAATTGAGTGCGCCTCATCCACAAAGAGATGGAACTTATAGCGACGCTTCAGCGCAATGAGACCTGGAAGATTGCACATGGATCCTTCCATGGAGTACAGTCCTTCAACGACGACGAGAATTTTCTTCCATGGGCGATGAGTACGTGGCTGGCCCTGAGAGATGGCTTCACGCAGCCTTGCCTCCAGGTCCTTCATGTCGTTGTGCTTGAACATGCCAATGGACGCACCTGACAGACGGGCGCCAAAGCGGATTGATGCGTGATTCAATTCATCGGAGATAATCAGGCAGCCTTTGCTCACCAAGGCCGGGAAGATATTTGCATTTGTACCAAAACCCATCGAGAAGACCATCGAGGCCTCCTTGCCCACAAAGCTGGCAACAAGACTCTCGACTTCAGCATGAAGATCTTGCGTTCCCACCTCAGCGCGAGTGCTAGGAGCACTAATCCCGTACTTCCTCAGAGTATCCTCGACGTGATCAGCGCAGGGACCTTCAGACTGGGCGAATCCGAGGTAGTTGTATGAGCTCAGGTTCAAGGTATCCGTTGTGGTTCCGGTGAGATAGAAGTGTTTGTTGTGGTCATCGGTGGCCCGGTCGATCAAGGTGATGTATCTTCCGGGGAC